AAAAAATCCAGATACAAAAATTGATATAGAGAGAACCAAAGATTCAGAAAATACAAATGCCCACGAGTATAAATTACAAATACCCATTTTCCTCCACAAATTACAAATGCCCACGAGTCTAAATCAAGTTTTTGTTGATAATTCACACAAAGAAAACCAATCCCCCGCACACCTAAATAAAAAAGACTTTTTATTTTTCCTTTTGCAAGGTGAAATTCAAAATGCCTAGAAGCAAAAATTTAAAGAATTATAATTTGATGATTCTTACCCTGAAAACGGGGCCAAATCCGCCTCGACCAAGCTTGTTTGTGGGGTGAAAATCCTTGGTTGTGGCTTTAAGGATTTCAAAAGGGAACTACTTCTGTTCTTGCGCTGCAATTTCCTCCAAGTCCTCTTCTGTTTGATAGGGTTGTTTGTGTTTTGTAAATGAAAATTATTTCCCCCTTTTTTCCTTGTTTTGACGGTTTAATAATGACAAGTTGTACAAATTTTACATGTAATCAAATCTCAATAAATGCAAGACATGTTAGGTATTTAAATTATGTAGATGGCTAAAAATGTCCAATTTTGACAATCTTGCAACTAGTTTAAAAATGTGACATTTTGGTAATTATATGGTTGCAAAATGACATCTATTGTAATTTCCTCAAGTTGTGTCAAAATAACAACCTATATTTCCTTACGCTCAATGATGTATTCAAGATTGAAAGTCAACTAAAGTAAGAGTTGACCGTTGACTAGTCAAGATCGAAATTAAAAAAAATTCAATCTATATGAAAATGCACTAAAACATAAAAATCATATACATATAAATATATAATTCAATGCAACTCAAAATAATAAAAATCGTATCATAATCTGCAAAACGCCCCCAAATTATTTTTCAATTAAAATTGGTTCAAAAACAGATAACACAATTAAAATTGATTCTAATAATTGCCTTTTTATTTTGTTATTATTGAGATTTAAAATGAAAGCCAACTACGGGTCTAACATGCCAACCTACATAATTCATTTAAAAATAAATAAAACTAAAGAGTCTATACATTATTGTAAGGTGGAAATTGAATTGCCAAAAACATTTGACCAATCAAACATGGAATTTGGGTGGAAATGAAATTTCTTTTCCATTTTCCGTGGAACGTTTCCTTAATCAAACAGAGCCTTAGATAAGATATCAAGATTTTCACCTCAAATCAATTTTCTTGATTAATAACTTCTTCCAAGACATGCATTCTATTATCACTCACTTTTAATCTAACTAGTTAGTGTAAGTCCCTTTTATGTAAAATTTTAGTAGATTTTGATTAAAAAAAATTTTTGAAATGTGTGATAGAGAAGTTGATAAAAATAAAAAATAAAAAAAATGAGTTTCAATAATTGATGATTGTTTTTTGTATTTTCATTGGAGACTAAGCTTTTTAGGCTAGATCTAGTACGTGGTATTGTTATCTCCATCATTTATAGCCCAAACAGCCAAACCTTCGTCAATTCCCATCGTCCTTCTTCAGTTCTTTCATTCATTTTTCCACTTCCACCCAGCACTCGAGGCCAGGGGAGGAGTCAGCTCATCAAAGTAGGGGGGTCCAAGAGTTGAAGTGTGGGGGCTCACGGGGGCTGCCCCCGAAATTTTTTTTTTTTTAAAACATTATCTATTAAAATGAGGGAAGTTTATACTTTGTGATCTAAAAAGGAACCCCCAGAACATAAATTAATGTACATTATTAACAAAAAAATCAAGAAACATATAA